CGGGCGCGACCCTTGCTGCGCCGCGCGTGTGGGCGTACTGGCTGTGCGAGGCGAGGAGTAGCGTAGCACCTCGAGTAGAACAGGCAGCGGGCAGTGAGCCCTAAGGTCAGCAGCCCTGTCCGTCCAGCTGAGGACTGAGCGGACTAAGTTGAATAGGATGATGGAGGAGTTGACGGTCGGGCGCGGGCACTGCGAGGAGCACCGCGCGCCGTCGGAGCTAGGCAACCCATCCGGCACGTGTGGCTGGCGATGTTGAATGCAATGAAGGGGAAATGGCAGGGAGGGGGGGGGGAGAAATTGGATGATCGATATCAGATTTGCAAGCTCATTTTTGCTGGGCCAGGGCGATTGAGGACAGACGGACGCGCGCACACCCCACATGCGCGCTGGAACTTGCTGACGCAGCCCAAGGGAGTGTGGGATAGGGCAGAAGGCCCCTCTTCCTCCCCCCCCCCTCGCCTCTTTACTACGCCACTTGGCTCTCGATGTCATAAGCCTTATAGGCGCAGTGCATAATGAGGGGTGTGGAAGGACTCGGGCTACTGATCGGCGCCATGGTCAGACACGCTGGTGGTTAGCCTCACGGTTGGCCTTCAGGTTAGCCCTTTAGGTTAGCCGGTTAGCCCTCTCAGGTCTCCGGGGGGTGAAGCCTCTCCATCAAGCTCGAGCGCCATGTGTGTTGCCTACCCATTCGGCGCCTTGTTTCTGTAGAGACTAGTCAATACGCATATTCGATTCCAAAAGAACGAATGCGGATTCAATGAGGTCGTTGGTGTTTAAAACTCATTCTCTTCCTTTCGGCTTGGTTGCAGGTTTCGGACGTGTCTGAAGGTGGCCGGCAACGGGCCCGCCAACCTGGTGGGCAAGCTGTTCTTCAACGTGGTGCAGACCAAGTGCTTCGTTCTCAAGCCCAAGAAGGTCTGCCTCAAGACCTCGTGGTGGGGCAAATGCATCAAGTGGCAGGTGAAGAAACAAGCCCATCTCAGAGACAATACGCCCTATTGAGCTTACCTGGGCCGGACCATACCCTCCCTCTCCTCCAACATTACCAAATCGTTTTTGGTCCTAAGGACTCTTACCTCTGTAGTACATTTGTAAATATTTGTATTTATGTAATTATCTTTTTAAATATGACTGAGTGTGTGTACGTATGGTGTGAAATAGGTGCGATAGGGTAAGCAAGTGGTCTCGTGTCTTGTGCGCGAAGCGCCTCGCCGCGATTTTAAAAATGTGTCTTGGAGCAGTTCTTATTGTTAAATATACTGTGTAAATTACTCGTGAATAGATGGAATTCCTTCAGTCTAGTCTCTTTGATTCTGCCATTTCAGTAACTTGTGAATTCGTATCAAATATCAAATCATAAATTAGGGTAGAGAGGAAATGATTTTAATAAATTTGTCACAACATACCATCTCCTCTACTCCGGAGAATTAGTATGTACCTGTAGTTTTGTATAGTATTCAACGACAGTCGAATGAGGTATTCAGTATCTCACTGAACATTTTGTACTTTTTGAAGTGACTGCACAATGAACGTTTCATGAGGCTACGACGCTAGTAGAGCGCATGCTACGTGCTGAATAGGCCAACCTGCCACGCAGCTGTGTGAAGACGGTGGCCCTCCCCAGAGCGCTCAAGGTGCGGGGTGCTACGGGCAAGTCAACGTTAGACGCCCAACTCGGGGAACGTTCATTGTGGGTAGAAGCGCCTTTAGGTTGACTCGGTGCGACCAAGTAATGAAGAAAATGACAATAAGTGACGAAGCGGATGTATTCCTCAAACCATGACAATAGGAGCTTGCAAACTGTTTTAAGGGGTAAATTATGTATTACCAACGGGAAACCGTCACATATAGCTTAAGGCCTAAGTTAAAATCGAGGTGTACATCAGTCCTAACACATACAGACTTCCACTCCACTACTATGTACTACGAATTGCATAATATCATCATGCTTTTTCCAGAACGTTTTCATAAGTATTATTGGTTTTTACTTTATCGCGTGTACCGACTCAAGTGATGTACTCCTCGGTTAGAAGGCATAACCAATGTAACATGCCGCAAAGTCCTAATCATGGCTTCAAGAACAGCCATTAACGGGTCGGGCATTCGCTATTCACACAAGTAAGTGGTGAATGCCCGCGAAATTTGTGATACCTGAAGGGGAGACAACAGATCTGTCCCCTCTTCATTATAATATAATGTAATTTATGGTAAATGAATTGTATTATTACCTTACATTGTTGCCAATATCCTAAATGTCTAATTTATGATTGTTAATGTATGTTTTTTGTGGTTACGTCTCCTCAACAAGACGCAACAGTACAATCCTTTATTTTTTTGTTGAATGGCAATGAACTGTGTAGATTATTGGTCGTTTACTTGTACGCACTAGTAGACAGGCTTTTGTATTGTAAATAATAATAATCAATGATCAAGTTGGGTTTTACTATTATTCACACCTTAAGATCTACCCATTAACATAAGCTTTTTGCAGATATTTCAATACTTTGATTCCACACAAAAATAGTGAATGGCATCCAAATATACATTGATGCTACTATTGTAAATGTGCAGTGTGCATGGTCCACATCTTTGATTAAAAAAGGATGTCACACACAACACATGATTTGAAAGTACAAACAAATTTAACAGCTATTACATTACAGTGATGTGTATTTTCAGAAGGAAAGTTTGATTGTGAGATGTGTGGACCACGATAATAAAAGTATCTACTGAATCACTAACATAAATTGAACAAGAAAAATCTGAAAAAAGGAGTTAATACTGTTCTTAAAAACAATAAGTGAACATGGGGCAACAAAAACCAATCGAGTGAAAAAGGAAAGGCCTATAAGAATCCATTACAATGTATGTACTACCTTTATGACTTAGGTAATTAAATCACCAAAGAAAAATAGAAAATAATTAAAACACAATTACAAACATTAAATGGAATAAAGCAAATCTTCCGTCAGATATTATTTTGACAAAAGCTCAATTCATAGGCTCACTAAAACAAATGAACAAAACAAATTGTATTGTGTCAAAACAGCAATTATCAAATTATAAAATAACACAATGCATACATCAAGTGATGTAAATAAGATCTTAATTTTATAAAAGAAATGAAATAACAGCACTAAATCTATAGGTGAGTCATAGAGATCTGATTTTTATCTCTTGTCACCATATAAAATTACTTTTAGTGAGTACATGAAGGAGAAGTAATGACATGGTTAGCTATGGTAAAATATAGCTACTGGAGTTAAATGTTGGTATTATATGGTATGTTTGATCCCTTCAGTACTTCAATGGCGCAGTATTTCTTTGCTTCTTTCTTACTCTTTGCTAGAATGAAAAAAATAAACTAACGTAACTACAAAAGAAACTAAAAAAAATAATGAACAGTTGATCAATGAGGAAATCTCACCTGTTCCTGTGTATGTAACTCCATTAACAGTTGCTCCCATACAGAATGTGAGGTAAGGTGGGGTTCCCTCTCGTGATATTTCAGTGAATAATGTTCCAGGAAAAACTCGACCCACAAGAGTGACGGGATGAAGAGCCTCTGCATTTTCAGGAAGTACTGTTGCTCCCTTTGGTGGAGGAGTAGTTGTTTTGGGACCCTGAGACAAATTTAAATCAACAGTTAGTTTTCTCTTCATTGAATAAAAAAAAATTCTGAGAATAATTTACCAAGACTTACAGGAGGTTTGTGAATGGTTTTCACAGGAGGGGGAGTCATAACAGTTGGGATACTAGTGCCCTGTGCCTTCCAGTCAGCAAACAGTTTAAACAGAGCAAAAGATGCAAGACTGCCCCATGGAACCTCATCTTCTGGAATTACTCTCCTACCATTGGTGGATCCTTTCTCTGATGCATCATCACCACTTGTAGTGTCCATTATTTCCTCATCACCTGTTCAAAACAATGAGAGGTAAGAGTAACACATCAGCAGTAGAGGATAATAGTAAAAAAAAAACAAAAAAAAAAACGAGACTTGCCTTCTTTCTTACATCCTGAATCAGAAATTTTTTTCAGGATCAAACCTTTCACAGCCAACTCAGCAGCAGCGGCTTTTGCTGCAGCCTTAGACGGGCCTTCACCAGTATAGGTTGTATTATCAATCTAAAACAGGTTTTCCAGATAACATGATGTAAGGTTGCAAGATAGATAAAGTTCAGGAATAGTACAGAAACATGCTAATTGGACTTACATTTATTCTAACAGTATAGGTCAACTGGCTGAAGGCATTAGTCTGCTCCTCCGCCTCAAAGGAAATGCCAGGCTGCAACTCATTTAACACCATGATCGCATTTTTAGGAATGAGGAGCTTCCTGAATCTGGCATTCTGGCGGCGTCTCTTCAAAACCTTGTTAACCTTGACTGAAAAGATTAAGAATAATACAGTTGATCACAGAAACAATATACGTAAAATATGTAACACTTCCAAGTGAACTGTACTAACATGAAGGATTTTTCTGCTTCTTCCATGGTTTCAACTCTGATACCTCAGAGTCGTCATCCTTCAGACTTAGCTGTCCAGGCTGAGCTAGACTTTGAGCAGCACTTGGAGCTGCACCTTGAGCCTGCGTGGGAACTTGAGGCTGGGATGGCACAGGAATCTGATGTGTGAGGACTACTGGTGACTGGGCTGCTTGACCTTCAGGTGCACCAGTCTTGGCTGGTGTGGATGTCTCCATCTTCACTATAGCCGGTTGCTGCGTCTTGAACTAACCGACAGACAAGGGGACGAGAGGGCAAGGCCCCACCACCACCAGTCATAAACTAGCTCAAGGCCAGACCCACTTGTGCCCCACCCCTCAACACCTTCTTGCCAAAGACAACCAGCAATTCCAATACCCACCAAAATATGGTGCGTTTGAAAGAATTTGATTTTGACCCAACATAGTTCATTTATTACCCAAAAAATCACATTGTAACAAGTTTGGCTTTTGAAATCCCATTTCACCTTAAGAATGACTGGTATTGTCAGGCAACAGAAGATGTGAGATGTAACATGTATGGTTGTGAGATTCGCCCTCATAAACATAATTCAGTACTGTAGCAGAACAGTTACCAGAGAGCAAAGTCTGTAAAATTGCACAGGACACTACACTGTGCCTACTACATATAAACAACAGTGGAAACATGTGCTTGCTCCAGTACCCCAAATTGGAAGGCGAACCCTTTCTACCTAGAAATATGGGATTTGAACTGAGTCAGACCAAGAGCATAGTAGATCGGCCACTCAAAGCCTTTGTCCTATGAAGGGCAATAGAATCCAAACATGTGATAAGAAACCCAACACAAAGATTATTGTTGAAATGCAAAATGAATTATAACAAAATCATAGTAGGAAATAAGTAGAGCTACAAATCTCAAACATAGCTAGAAGAAATTTGGAATGAAGAGACAGCTAGATTGAAAATTATGTTAAAGCATGTAAATGAAATTATAAAAATGCCTTAACAGACCAACTAAACAACTCAAGATGTAACAATTGCAAATGGACCATTGAATGTACAGTAATGAGGTAAAACAGCAATAAAGAAACTTTCTGCTAGTTGAGCAAATGTTGAGGGGAAAAATAGATTACATAAAATTCTTACCTGGGGAGTTTGGGGCGACTGCTGAGTTTGCTGATATTGCTGTTGCTGCTGATGTTGTTGTTGTTGCTGCTGTTGGTGTTGAGGAAGGGGGGAGGAAGCTCCTGGTGGAGCAGGTTGACTTGCAGGATACATCATTTGTGGTGGCTGGAACTGCTGGTATGATTGCTGCTGGCCAGGCTGTCTAGGACTTTGATGGTATGTAACTTGAGTTTGCTGCTGCCCTCCTCGACCTATAACATTACAAGAGAAAGATGGAAAGCAGCCCACAGCAACCAGCAAATTCAATCCATGTGGGTTCCTTCGCACAGTAAAAGAATAGGATAACAATACTGAAACAATTTAAACGTCTGGCAAATGGACAAAAAAATGCACCGGGGCGTGCACAATCCTAAAAACTTGCCATTCCAAAATGTTTCATTGGATCCACTGTTCCCAGTCAGTAGGGTTGGGGGCATGGGTGAAGCGGTTAACCCGGCCCGGTAAAAATGATTTAAAAAAAATCATATCAAGGCAATGCTTGCCCACAGCTTAGTTTCTTCCACCTCTTTAGTCAAATGAAAATACCCCTGAAATAGCCAAAACGAAGAAATGCGTCTATAGGCACATACCTGATTGCCTACCAGACCTCGTCGAGTAGGACATTTCCCTCAAAGAAATTGCTGCAAGTAAAAGTCAAATATAACGAGATCCACTTCCTACAACAGAAGTCTTAATATTTCCGCTCCAAATCTTTAGACGCGACAATCCGCCAAGGGCACACTCAAACAAATGTGAGAAAACGCCGGCTTTGTGAAGAAAAATGGACGCCGTACAGGTCGAGGAAAAAACTTTCTGGTGGTGACAAGTAGGCCGTGAGATGAAAAAGAAGAACATAAGAAGAAGAAATCTATCGATCTACGTATTTTGGCGCTCTACCCGTCACAGCCCGACATTTTACTATATCTTTTGTCTTAATTTTTAAAATATCTTCTGAATTATTTATTGGAAAAACCGTATCAACCGTTTCAGAAGCCGTAAAGCCCGCAAATCAGCACATAGCTCTCTCGAATGAGCGACTCGATTAGTCGGCGAGCTTGGCTAGATTTTGGCTTTTTTTGGCTCGGCTCGGCAAGGCTCGGTTCGGTTGCCTGCCTAAACTTCTGAAATTCCTAAAGTTATTGTGTTCAAGGTAGACACAAATATATTGGTTATAAGTGCAGAAATAACATTGAAAATAAAACTGCATGTTCAGTTGTCACCCATACTATCCGGGGAACAATTTATGTACATTTCGGCGTTCAAATCGTCGTAGTCTGTACCGTATTTCTGACTGACATTTCTTACTCTCTTACTCGGCCCACGAAAGGTAGAGCTCTTGAACGCGGTAGTTTTTAACGCAACTTAGCATTCTGGCTTGTTCTGTTTTAACAATTCATATTTTCATCTAAAGAAAGTAATCAAGATTTTGTTAGTATCTGTCCGACAAGTCGCGATTGTTAATAATATCTTTCATACGGAGATACGGTTTGTTCTAACCTCTGGTTTGTACCATGTTTACGTCAGATTGATGATAGATTTTCTACCAAAATTCACAGTTTCTCTTCTCTGATAATCATAACGTTCGATACACTTAATGATGCACTTTGAAAACTGTTCATACTGTTTGACGGGTTTTACTAATTGTCAAAGGAAGTTAGCATGGATTTAAGAGTTGTACCATACAATATTACCTGATTTTTGTCCTGAGTTGTGTATATCTCTAATACACTTCAGAAAATATTATTCTAATGTAGTAGCTAATTCAGTAGTTTGTCAAATATTAACTATTGTTTCAAATTATTTTTTCAGGTTAGATTTACCCTTTAACCAACATGTCTGGCTTTATTGACTCTGAGGCTGAAGAAAGTGAAGTAAGGCTTCTTATTATTATTTGTCAAAGTGATGGAAAGCCATGTTCTCATTACACATTATTTTTTCCAGGACGAAGAATTTGAGAAAAAGACCACGAAACGGAAAACAATTGATAGTGACGATGATGACGAAGATGATGGTAATTTTTTCTTTTACTTTGTTGTTTTATGTTTCTCCTGCCTGCACAACCAATGATTACTATCACTGCGCAAATCTGAAGCAGCTAACTTGAAGTTTCATGGCCTTTGCCATTGAGACTCGTTGACTGAAGTGTTATGGATTGGTGTGAATTATGAGGTCCAATTGGATGGGCTTTTGCTTCTGTACAACATGACACACAAATGTGTGACAACACTTTTTTGTACTCTTTTGCCAGATGAGGGAGATGGGGAGGACTTAAAAGATCTTATCGATGATAATCCAATTGAGGAAAGTGGGGACGAATCAGATGCATCTGCTGGGTCAAAAAAGAGAAAGAAAAGTGATGACGAAGATGACCTGGATGATCGTCTAGAAGACGAAGACTATGATTTGCTAGAGGAAAACCTTGGTGTTAAAGTAGAGAGAAAGGTGTGTAGTTAAATTTTAATTATTTTCTTTGAATTAGTATTTGTGCATTATATTCCAATTTCTACAACAATTACCATTTATTCCTTTTGTTTTATCAGAAACGATTTAAACGTTTGAAGCGCATAACGGCTGATGAATCTGAAGACGAGCAAGAGGAAGACAGAGGAGATGAAAGGGATGTAGTGGCAAATGAGCTGTTTGAAGGGTCAGATAATGTAAGTTCAGCATCTTGGGGTTATATGCCCCACTTTAACCCCACCTTCTCCTCCCCTCCTTTTTTCTCTCAAACTGTGGATAAAAAGAACAATGCTCTTGCTAGAGCTAGGGTGTTCTATGTTTCTTTCTAGCCAGCTTATAAGATGCTTGCATATGTTTTGCTTTTCAATAAGTTTTTAAAATTTTGCTGTTCATTTCAAGGGATGTTGCTATTTTTAATGTTGTCCCGATTTTGTGTAACAAATTTTGGCTACTTTAAAGTGTGATGTGACTAAACTATTTTTTTGTGTGCTTCAATTGTCTCAGGAGGCTGATGAAAGGGTAAGTTGAGTTTGAACTGTTTTATTTTTTCTTCTTCTTCTCTTTGATTCTTGATACTAAGTATTCTAGTTGTGGTTTTTCTTTCTTTCATGAAGGGATCAGGGTCTGCTGATTGTGCCATTTTGGTTTATCAATTGGTGTATTTATGTTTGACAGGAAGAAGATCGGTCCTCAGAGCGTCGAGATGAAACTGCAGGCGATTTTGATGAAGAGGGTGATGAAGAAGGAGATGATTATTCAGACGCTGACGATTTTATTGTTGATGATGAAGGGCGGCCTATCACCGATAAACGTAAAAAGCGAAAACCTATTTTTACGGATGCGTAAGTACCTCTGCTGTCATTTTCCTTAGCAGGAGTAAGTAATTTATTTATTTATATTATGTGTCCTAATCTTATTAGGGCTCTTCAAGAAGCACAAGATATCTTTGGAGTTGATTTTGACTATGACGAGTTTGATAAATATGATCAAGAAGAGGAGGAGTATGAAGAAGATGAAGATTACCAAGAAGAGGATGATCCAGGAAGAAGGTAAAATTATGACCAGTTCTGTCAGGCTTGGCAATAACAGCCCATTACATTCCATATACTTCCATCTATTCTATGCCAATCACAACTTACTATTATTTTCGTAGGAGGAAAGCAAAGAAAAAAGCAGCAAAGAAAACATCAAAGAAATCTATATTTGAAATTTATGAACCTAGCGAACTAAAGAGAGGTCATTTTACTGATCTGGATAATCAGGTTAGTACAGATCTTGATGAATTTTTCCTGTCTCTGATCAAAGTATTTTTCCTCATCTTTCATTTTTCATTTTCCTAGATTCGTAACACAGACATACCAGAAAGGATGCAGTTACGTGATACACCAGTAACACCAGAATGTGATGAAAAGTTAGAAGAGGAAGCCACTTGGATCTACAAGCAAGCCTTTTGCAAACCCTCTATTTCAACTCAGGTAAAACACTTCCATTCATACAGCTGTATTGCATTTATTTGAATATTTTTTTTAAAGATGTCTGTTTTGGATTCAGCATGGTTTAAATTCTGAGAGTGATAAGACAAGAAAAGAACCAAGTGCTACACAATACAAGATTAAGAAAGCTCTTGATTTCATGAGAAATCAAAGTTTGGAAGTTCCTTTTATTGCGTTTTATAGGAAAGAGTATGTCTCTCCAGAGCTCACACTAAGTGATCTATGGAAGGTGTACAAGTATGATGAAAAGGTTGGTCGAAAATATCCAGTAACATTAATGTTTCATTACTGAAATTACTTAAAACTTTTCTTTCTGGTGTCTTAATATTACTTTAATGTGTCCAGTGGTGTCAGTTATTGGCACGCAAACAAACACTTATTAAACTGTTTGAGAAAATGCGTGATTATCAAGGGGAGCAGCTAACTAAGGACAGCACAGCAGACATTCCTGAAGATGTCAGAGTTTTGACAGATGATGATATTGACCGGTAATCAGATGTTTGATTTTTCTCTAAATACTGTGCAGTTTTATCTTGATCTAATTCAAGTTGTTAAATTTCACCAGAGTGCGAGCCGTTCAGACTCCAGAAGAACTCCGAGATGTTCACATGCATTTTCTCCTGTATTACTCTCATGAGGTTCCAGCTATGCAAATAGCATGTAAAACTAAAGAGAAACTTGAGCGACAGCAACGTAAAGAAGCACAACGTAATCGTCGGGAGAGAAGGAAGAAAAAGAAAACAATAGTTAATGATGATGGTGAAGAAGAGGAGGTTACTGATGAGGATGTAGAGGATGATGATGATCTTGAAGATGAGGAAGATGATGTTGAGGAGGATGAACCTCAAGATCAAGTGAAACAGGCTGTTAGGTCTGGACCATATAGCATGTGTCGGAAAGCACGGTTAGCAGGATTTGCCAAACGGTTTGGACTCTCCCCTGAACAATTTGCTGAAAATCTGAGAGATAATTACCAACGACATGAGGTGGAACAGGAATCTGTTGAACCTCTTGCTTTGGCTAAAGAATATCTCTCTGCGTAAGTGTTGGAGCTAAATATTGCTGCTTGTCATTTATTCATTCTTCTCTTGAAGACAGTTTTTTTTACTCTTGTCATATTTTACAGGCAATTTCCGAATTCTGAAGAAGTCTTGAAGGCTGTAAAGTACATGGTTGCTGCACAATTGTCAAGGGAGCCATTGGTACGGAAATGTGTCAGAGAGGCGCTTTTCGAGCGTTCCAAAATTGATGTTGTACCCACCAAGAAGGGTATAAAGGAAATAGATGAAAACCACCCTATTTATGGATTGAAATATTTGAAAGGGAAACCAGTTCGTGACTTGTCTGATGAACAGTTTTTGAAACTGGTTATGGCTGAGGAAGAAAAGAACATAACTATTTCATTCTCTGACCAAATAGAAGGCTTGACCACTGCTTCTTTTATTGAAGAAGCCAAGCAACTTTACCTAAGGGTATGATAAGTAGTATTCAAATTGCAAATTTTTTGCAATATTTTTGTGTTTGTTTATTATTGTATTACAAGGCCTAGTGTTATTTATTTTATTTACAATTGCCAGGATGAATTTATCAAACATGTCCAAGAATGGAATACAATTCGGGTAGAATGTGTTGATCTTGCTCTTCGTAAAATGTTAATTCCTGAAATAAGAAAGGAACTGAAGAGTGTCTTACACAATGAGGCAAAGGATTGTGTTCTGCGGTCCTGTTGCCGGCGTTTGTACAATTGGATTAAGGTGAGGTTAAACTCATACTTTTCTGTATTATTTTTTTTGTTGTGTTGAGTATAAATTACATACAAGTAATATTTTAATGAAAACTTTTCTTCAGGTTTCACCCTACACTGTTGAGTTCCCAGATGAAGATGAAGATGATTATGACACGTCGAAGGGGCTTCGTGTCATGGGTCTTGCATATGTGCCTGATTATTCCCAAGCTGCGTTTGCGTGTATTGTTGCCCCAGATGGGGAGGTGACTGACTACCTACGGTTGCCAGGCATTTTAAAGAGGCGCAATGGTTACAGGGAAGATGATAAGCTTCAAAAGGTATTTTCCTCCTACTTCTTGTACTACAAGCTTTTATTAAACATTGGAGCCTACCTCCTACTATTGTGTTTGTTTTTTGTGTTTTTTTCTTCTTTTACCAGGAGGCAGACCTTACTGCAGTACGCAATTTCATCTCAACCAAAAAGCCTCATGTTATTGTTGTCGGTGGAGAGAGCAGAGATGCATTAATGGTTGTCCAGGACCTGAAAAATGTTGTAAAAGATTTGGTGGAGGATGATCAATTTCCTTCCATCAATGTTGAAATTGTTGACAATGACCTTGCCAAAATTTTTGCCAACTCTATTAAGGCAGAGGTAAACAGAAATTAATGATTTACATTAACATTTCAATTATATTTTGTACTTCAAAGTAAGTGCCACAATCGAGTTACTTGAATGAGTTGAACTTCTTCAATTTCAGAATGAGTTCAGAGATTATCCTCTGCTTTTGAGGCAAGCCATATCGCTTGCACGCCGGTTACAAGACCCATTAATAGAGTACTCTCAACTGTGTACTAGTGATGAGGAAATTTTATGTCTTCGGTTTCACCCCCTTCAGGTGAGAATTTTAAAGTGTTCTCTAACTATGTAGATCATAATACAGAAATATATGATACAATTTTAAAAACTTTTCTATCCAGGACCAATTGGCCAAAGAAGACTTACTTGAAGCACTATACCTAGAATTTGTAAATCGAACCAACGAAGTTGGAGTAGATATTAATGTTGCTGTTCAAACCGGTCAAACTGCCAACCTTGTTCAGTTTATTTGTGGACTTGGTCCTCGTAAGGGAACAGCACTAATCAAGCTTCTGAAGCAAACCAACCAGCGTTTAGAAAACCGTACCCAATTAGTAACATCTTGTCACATGGGACCCAAGGTTTTTATTAATTGTGCTGGATTTATACGCATTGACACAAACTCATTAGGAGACAGGTGAGGAAATCGTAATGGTTTTGTTTTACCTTTGTTTTTATTTTCTTCATGTTAAAGATGAAGCGGAAAGTAAAACATTCTTATTTCTATTCTAGTACTGAAGCATATGTAGAGGTTCTTGATGGATCTCGTGTTCATCCTGAAGCTTATGAATGGGCAAGGAAAATGGCAGTGGATGCATTGGAGTATGATGATGAGGATGCCAATCCTGCTGGAGCATTAGAGGAAATTTTGGAGTCTCCAGAGAGATTAAAAGATCTTGACCTGGATGCTTTTGCTGAAGAACTTGAAAGACAAGGCTTTGGCAATAAGAGCATAACCTTGTATGATATTAGAAATGAACTTAACCACAGGTACAAGGATATGCGTACTCCATTTGCCTCCCCTAACCCAGAAGAACTTTTTGACATCTTAACCAAGGAGAATCCAGAAACATTTTATCTTGGGAAAATGATTTTAGCTACTGTAATAGGCATTCAACACCGCAAACCACAACATGAGCAACTAGATAATGCAAACCCTGTCAGAAATGATGAGACTGGTTTGTGGCAATGTCCTTTTTGTTTGAAAAATGATTTCCCAGAGCTGTCTGAAGTTTGGAATCATTTTGATGCTGAAACATGTCCTGGAAAGGCCACCGGCGTGAAGTTGCGTCTTGACAATGGTATTCAAGGTTATATTCACATTAAAAACTTGTCTGATAAACATGTCAGTAATCCTGAAGAAAGAGTGAAAACAAACCAGATAATTCACTGTCGGATAACAAAGATTGATGTGAATAGGTTTTCTGTTGAGTGTACCTCCAAATCTTCAGACCTCATGGATGCCAACCATGAATGGAGGTAGGGTAAAATTTCAGTAATAACCACAAAAGTTCTTCATACCATGTTTCATTCTGTGAAATTGTTTTTTCCAAATATATAGACCAAATCGAGATCCATACTATGATACAGACAGAGAGGCAAAGGACAAGAAAACAGAGGAGGATACAAAGAAGATGAAACAGCAACATGCCTACATCAAGCGAGTTATTGTTCATCCTTCATTCCATAACATTTCGTTTAAGGAAGCTGAAAAACTCATGGCTACTCTTGATCAGGGTGAATGTATTGTCAGACCATCTAGTAAGGTAAGGGTTGTTATTTTAGTTTCACTTATGGCAGTCTATGCATAATTCTGTCTAATATTATTTTGATCAATTGTTTTTGCTTTTTTTTTTTAAGGGAGCAGATCATTTGACTGTTACTTGGAAAGTAGCTGACAACATATATCAACATATTGATGTAAGAGAGGAAGGTAAAGAGAACTCTTTTTCACTTGGTCAATCTTTGTGGATTGGCAAGGATGAGTTTGAAGACCTTGATGAAATCATAGCTCGACATGTTAATCCCATGGCTTCACATGCTCGTGACTTGATTTCATTTAAATATTACCGTGAAACAATGGGAGGTAAAAAAGACAAAGCTGAAGAAATATTAAAGGATGAAAAACGGAGAAATCCGAGCAAGATTCATTATATAATATCAGCAACTCAGGCAAGTCCTAATTATGCAATTAGGATTTTTTTGTGTACTGCCGTTTTTGTAAGTTTCGGGGAGTAATTTGTCAGTATCTCTTCTTTACAGTCGCTCCCTGGAAAATTCATGCTTTCATATATACTTAATCGATGCCGGCATGAATATGTGACAGTTACACCTGATGGATTTAGATTTAGGCAACAAATGTTTGAAAATTTGAACGCACTTTTCAAGTGGTTCAAAGAACATTTCAGAGATCCTATTCCTGGAAGCACGCCAAGTACTCCTCGTGCTGGGATGACTAGCAGAACACCCTTCCCAGCAACTCCAAATCTTAGCATGGCTAGTAAGTTTTATTCTACATGATACAAACCATGACATTATCTGTATTCATTTTCAGGTAGTCACATTTGGTAATTTTCAATTTCAGATATTGACCCTGCCATTCAACGAGTTGCGCAAAGTATGCCGACCCATATGCTGCACAGCTTGTCACAGGTGGCCAGTCAGACTCCACATTACTCTCATACTCCTGGTGTTTATGGAGCTGCTAGTGTTCATGGCTACCCTAATACTGTAAGCTACTGAATTGGTTTGGTTGAGAAAAAATGTTTTTTAGGCTGTGACATTATCTCAACCTCTTTTTTCTTGTTACAGCCCTACACACCATCAGGCCAAACACCTTTCATGACACCTTATGCGACACCACACCATGCTACGCAAACACCTCGATATGGTCAACCTACTCCATCACAGATGACAGCCGGATTTCTGCACCCAGGTGCTGTTACCCCAGCACAAACAGCACATCGAACACCATCACACAGACCAGCTCCAACACCCACACCCCATCAACCTCATGTTGCTCACTCTTCACACAGCAGGTAAGTACCTCCAAGATATAGACCTATATCACAAAGAATATATCTGTTCTAACTCACAACCTTTTGGTTTGCAGATCAGGCACAACTCCTCGCTATGATGAGGGAAGAAGGTCGACCACTCCCCGATACGATAGTACACCTAGAGGCTCAGTGTCAGGAAGTCCTTACGTACCAGGAGGAGGAAGTGGAACACCACGAAGTGAATCGTAAGTATTTGGATGAGTCAATTGTATTGTGTTTTCTGTTATATCTTAAGTTACACCACAGCCTTGCTTTTCTTAATTGCATTTGAACCTCTTCCTCTCTTCTGTTTCTAGGAGCAGATCAGGCTACAAGCGATATGAGCAGAGCCCAAGAGTACCAGGAAGTAGTGGTCACTTTAGTCGCAGTGGTACACCTCGCTCTAGTCCTGCTGTGGGATATGGGCAACATCCTCGCATTACTGGTTATGAGACAAGATCACCTCATGGCTCTATGTCTGCAAGATCAACACCTAGAACTATAGCCTCACCAGAATCAATGGTCGAAAGTACTGGTGATGCTACCCCCCTCATTGACGAACATTAGTAAAATTAATTTGTATGTATATATTTCCTCTCTAAAGCCTCTTCCTATGAGAATTAAAATTTTCCTAGGAAATTCTATGTTTACATTTGATTATCCTTTTCTTATTGTACAGAATATGATTAATGCTTTAATTTTCTACGGTGTTGACTGCTTAATGTTAACTGGAATATGTATTTTTAGTAGCAATAGTATGTTTTATTTTTTAATTCCTGGCTTGTAGGGTATGACAAATTATCCTCTAAAATATGTGGCTCTTGCATGTTTTTATTAAATATTATGATCGCAGTGCTGTATCAAGATGGTAGATTAGTTCAAATCAAAGTAAGAACAGAGGTTGCTCTTTTTGTCTTAGGTATTCTTATTAAGCATAGTTCTTCCTCTAGGATTTTGGAAATAATGAACTTTCCTAATTGATCACTGGCGTGGCAATGTTTGTGTTGAATGATACAAGAAATACATTGTGGTCTTCCTGTTGCTCAAAACTACATACTGACCATGTAGATTGATTGACTGTGAATCTTCTGTGTAAGGCCAGTTTAGGTTTATCATGAAATGAACTGAATCAAAAACTACTCTTATTTTTACTGTATTATCCATATCATTTACACTAGCAATTAAAAAGCCAATGACAATGACTTAATAATATTGTGGGTCACTCGGCAGGTAAACATATCATACTGAAAGCCCATTCATGATGTTCAGTTCTTCTTGCTCATTGGTATCACGCATTCTACTAATCAAGCCTGCTAAAAAGTTGTTAAAATCTGACCTTAGCTTATTGCTATTCTCATCTATGTTGACAGTAGTTTGGTGAACTCGAGAAAAAGTACCACCTATTGAAGGGAGGATAATTAACATAAAGTATTGACAAATCTTTCTTAAATTTTAGTTTCTGTAATGAAAAAGTACATACTCAAAGTAAGTGAGGTTGATCGAGGAGCCGTTTTTGGATTGGAAAGTATGAGACAATTTTTGATGTCAAGTCCTGTTTGCTGCACAAAATAGCTAAATAATGTCTCCAACTCATTGACATGACCAGCTGTGTTAGGATCATATACCAACACTACTCCATGGGTACCTTGCTGAAAAGCTGGCCAACAGGATTCAAAACGTCTACAAAAGAAAAGGGGAAACTGCTCATGTTATTACACCGCCACTTCAACTTGTTTCTTATACTGCAAAAGAAATCACACACTTATGATCACCACTGCAATCCCACAACTCCACCTCAGCTTTTACTGACTGATTATTTGTCCCAAGGTTACCACTTTCAAACTGTAATATCCTTACGCCTTGCGTAGCATGGTATTCCCCACCACTGCTCTCTGTGGCATCTGCTAAGAAGTTTGAAATTGTAGTCTTTCCACTCTGAAAAGCAAACAGTAAGGGTGAAGTCCTCCTAATGCATTACTACATGAAACAATAATGAAATATTGCTTACCTTAATTGGACCAATGATAATTACTTTTAATCTGAACATTTTGAGAACACCGGGTACTTATCTAAGGGTTTCAGCCCTTCAGCACAGCACCTCCACTCGTTCGCACATCTTGCGCTCGCGAGCAGAAGGTTTGTTGTGGCCGGTACCGGGTTGCCTAGCAACGCGCGGACAGCCCATGACGCTTTCGGGCTTCAGCTGCTCGCACAGTGTTTGTAGTCACAAAGAAGTAACATACTGCTTGCCGGTGACGGCATCGTTTCTGAAAAGCAAAGGAGATTGGCGTTTAGTTCTTCAATAGAGAAGTGATACAGAACAAGTATTTATAATACGTCATTTATTTGTGCTACAGAAAATTGTTCATTGGACGCTCAATTTTAGCGGTGGAGGAGGTCCAAACAAGTAAAGAAGAGAAGGGAGCGGTAAGTGAGAAGGTGGAAGACGAGCGAAGAGATGCTTTGAAAATTGTGTGAAGCCCCCCCCCCCTTTCTCCCATGAACGTCTCACGAGGCAACGCTAATGATAGCGCCTGCTACGCGCTGGGTAGGCCAACCCGTCAAGCACATGTGTGAGGACCGGTGGCCCACCCGGCAGGGCGCCCAAGTGCGGGAGGCGTCCTCGTGGTACTGTTATTGAGGGAGCACCTTTCAAGCATTTCATTTTACATTCTCCTGCTATCTTTGAAGTTTCAAAACAAATTTCAGATTGCCAATGCTGCCTTCGCGCTCAGTTGTACTTAAGATGATGCAGAGTCAAGCCTGTGTGGAACACCGTATTGATGACTTCCCCAAACCGTTTAGTCATCAATTCACACCTCACAAACAAAATGATTTCTCTTTTGCTGTTAGGGAAATCTGTTCATCCACTGGAAAGTTTATCCCTGGTTTGAAGATTTCTAAAGTAATCTTTCTTGGTGACGTTGCAGCAGGAAAGACAAGTCTTGTCAACAGGTATCAGGTCTCTAAAGTATTCATTTTTAAAAGCTTGTGTTAGAAGCAAGGAATTATAATGTACGTACTATCAATGTAATTTCAGGTTTTGTCATAAGGTATTCAGCAGTAACTACAAGGCTACAATTGGTGTAGACTTTGAAGTAGAACGTTTTGATATACTGAAGATCCCATTTAATCTCCAAATGTAAGATAGAAATTATGTTATTGCTAGAATTAACTTTCCTAATAAGACTAGTTGCTTAATTGTTATTTCCATTTTGAATTTGCAGCTGGGACACAGCTGGACAAGAACGTTTTAAATGCATAGCAAGTTCTTATTATCGTGGTGCACAAGGTATGCCCAGCATTGACTTAAAAATTCTGCACTGATCAACTTAATGAACTAATTTTGAGTTTTTTTATATTCCTAGTTATTGGAGTTATTTTTGATTTGTCAAATATTTATTCACTTTCTAATTGTGCCAAGTGGCTAGAGGAGGCCCTTGCCTGCAATGCCTTGCGTCCAATTATATTCCTCATAGGTACCAAAAGTGACCTTCTAGTAAGTACACATACTAGTGTCCACAAGCACACACTTTCTTATTTGTGATTAAAAAAAAAAGTTCTTGACATTATTTTCTACAACCCCTGTCTGAAACTTAATCAACTATTTTTCAAGTCCTCTTCAGCCTACAAACATGTAGAAAAACTGGCCACTCAAGTTGCCCAACAACTTGGAGCTGAGTACTGGGCTGTTTCCTCTCGTACTGGAGATGGTGTCAATGAGCTGTTTTTACGAATAGCAGCCTTAGCATTTGAAGTGTCTGTTCTTCGGGACCTCCACACTGCTGGTATTAAACTGTCAATTGGAACGGAGCTTGTTTGTAAGTACAATTTACCCATATAAACTTTGAACATGATTTTATTCTTGTTGACGAAATCAGGACATACATAATTTCTAAACTTACAGCCTTAAAAACACTAGAACCACCAAAGAAATCAAATAAATTCAAATGCAGTGGATCAACTTGTACATAATCCAATCAACAATATGAATTGAGGTGCAAGAAATATACAAAAGACTTTCTTCTTGAGTTATAGTAATAATTGTGCAAAAAAGATTCCCAAAAGGGAACAAAATTGCTTTCTCACCCATTCTTTCTATTCCGGCAAAAGGTGGACCAAATCTTGACTATTAAATTTCAAATTTTAATAGATTCAGGTTCCACATATATCCGCTTATTGCCATAGGAACAGATATAAGTTTCAATAAAGAAGAAAGTCAAAGAAACCCACATAATAAGTGGACATTCATTGCACCGTTTTTTCTCAGGTAAACTCACAACCCTCAAAAGGTCCATATTTGCAAATATAACATACATCACAGTATCAGTCATGTTGTTAAATAGCAGACCATTTGCTGTAGGGATCTCTCCCTCAGCACTATTTTGGGGCTGTAGAAATTCATGGTCACTTACATCCAAAACCAGGCAGATATTCTAGTAATGAAATAACTTTGGTTCATTTCTGTTACAAGAAAAAATGGTAAATGACCTGTGTCCAAGGCAAGTTATAAGAGAACAATGTATATCAGCAGCTTTAGCAGTTATGTTCACATGCTTTGGATTTACAGAACTTGAAAATTCTATATAATCTTATCTTGAACTGACCGCACATGATTATTATTTTTTCTGGCTATACCTCACATTTGAGAACCAAATAAACGGTTTCAAATACTAAATTAATCATGATTCTTTAAAAACGATACCACTAGAAGCCATATCACACAATATAATGAAAAAATCACATTAAAAAATCAATGCTTTGATTTACATAACACAGCAGTCCTCCTTGCCTTTGGGCTTTTGCTGACGCTGCTGTGGCTGCGATTGATTTAGCTGCTGTGGCTGCAATTGCTGTAGCTGCTGCTGCGGTTGCTGTTGCGGCTGCTGCGGTTGTTGCTTCTGCTTTGGCTTCTGCTGCTGTTGCGGTTGCTTATTCGGTTGAGGCGGCTGCCGTTTATTAGGTCCCTGCTGTTGTTGCTGGTTAGGCTGTTGCTGAGCGTAGTTTTTGTTGTGCTGATCAATATTAGAGACACATAAGGCAGACAATGCTGCAGCGTTAGCAGCAGTCGCAGCAGTTATTGCTTGAAGTTGCATTTGGGGATTAGAGGTAGGAGGAGTAAACATCGGAGAGGTTGACTGCTGCTGCTGCTGCTGCTGAGCGGCACGGCGGGGAGTCTTGTTGTCATATTCTCGTACTTGCAGGTCAAATCCATTGTACATGATTGGCTGCAAAAAGTGAATTTGTTGATAAAATTTAACAGTCAATTTTTATTGAATCAATCTTTTTTTTCAAATGTTTGATGATGCTTTACTTACCCGTGCTCCAAGAACTCGAGCAACTGATTTATCATCTCTGAATGTGATAAATGCCATGCATTTTTGTCCAACCCCATGTCGCCTTTTAGTAACAGAAGCAACTGGACCATACTTCGAGAAGAAATTCTATATTGATGCAAATGAAATTAAAAAAATTAGGAGATAGTTGGAGGGGTATATGGAACCATCTGCATAGGAAGCACAACTCACTGCAAGATCGGCTTCAGCACTGTCTAGTGGTACTTGATTTGCAAAGACTCTCCTAGCAGCCTCATTGTCCTGATTAGATTGAGAGCCTGTAAATTACAGTATCTGGTTATTTTCATTTCTAACCATCAATTGGCAGTGGCAACCAAAGATCACACATAAAAGCTGTCCTGCCTTTTTGAGGTGCTGACGACGGTCCACCTTTCTTCTTAGCAAGCCTTTTTTGTCTTCGCTGCTGCTTAGCTTCTCCACTACCTTTGTGTTGTCCTGTTCTATCTTCTTGAACATTCAGCAGGACGTTTGCATAAGTCTTTTGTCCAGATAATGTATTCAGGAGATGTCTGAGGGTAATTGGCTGAAATCAAAACAAACTCTAGGTATGCTGCTTCCTATTGAAACAAAGCAGTAATACATATTAAGGATGTAAAATTTCCTTACCCTGCTCCTCAAAATGTTCTGCACAGTTTTGTCATCAGACACATATAATAAGGCACAATGATTCCCAGTAGCCTCTGCCTTTATGGGACTTGTCAAGAAACGAACATACAAAATCTTCCCAAATGTTGAAAAGCGATCCTGAAACAAAAAATTTTTGCATTTACATAATAACAAGATTATTGAACATAAGAAAACCTCGGGTCTAAAATGAGATTAATGTAGAGACCTTGATTTGTTCTGGTTTAGCATCTTTTGGTATTCTTCCCACAAACACCTTCTTAGCATTTTTACAATTGTCTGGCACAATGCTCGCCGCTTCAGACACAACAGAAGAGGTATCTGAAACAATTTGCAATTGCAAACCGCATCGATTAATGTACAACCAAAAAATACCCATGGCATGTCTTAGACATTCGACCGGTTGCTTACCCGAGCAGTCACTCCCGTCGCTGTCACTGTCGTCCTCGTCATTGTCCGGCACGTCCCCGTCGATGATGCACTTCTTCACGTCAGCGATGAGCGTGTCCAGGGACGGGACCGCAGACGAGCTGCCGGCAGCGTCCTGGCCGTGGAGCAGGAGGTAGATGAGGTAGGAGAGGACTCGGTCCTCGGCGGGACTTCCCGGCCCGATCGCCAGGGTCTTGCTCGTGCCCGTGGCCAGCCCCGTGTCGTCCGCTCGCACCGTCACCGTGCACTTCTTGGCCATGTCCAGCATGCTCTTCTGCTCCTGCAGCGCGAACAGGCGCTCGCTGTTCGCCTGCAGGAATCTGTCGAGTGCGCGCGGGACGTCCCCGTTGTCCTGGAACGCCGTCAGGGGCACCTCCATGACGAGCTTGGACGTCTTGTCCAGGACCTCTCGCTGCTTCTTCACCTCGCCCATCTCGCGCTGGGCCCGCGGCCCGAGGCCACCCTTGCCGTTGATGGCCACCGCGAAGGCCTCCAGGCTCTCGGCCAGGTCCTTGAGGACGCCGTCCTCCCGCTGGAACTGGCGCTTGGCCTGCTCCTTGGCCTCGGTGGCTCGCTTCAGCACCAAGCCCGTCTTGTCGCACACGGGGTGCATTTTCATCAGGCACGAGTCGTTCGCATCCCGGTTGCAGCGGGTGCAGAAGAACCTGCGCAGCGAGAGCAAATTATTTCATATCCAGAGAGTCCCAGAGCTTACTCAAGTTTGAAGCTTTCATACCTCAATGACACGGCGGGCATCTCTGGAGCTGATGGTGAACAGGCGCCCGGCGCTCTCGCCCTCGCCTCCAAGTCACTCAGCGTCTCGCAAATGTGAAAGTTGTTCTTCAGAAAGAACGGCGCTTCGGAAAAGACCTGAAGAGAAAGAATCCGAAAATCAATCGTTACTTAGAACGGGTGCCCCGGGCGGGTAGGCAACCCGCACAGTGAAGGTGGAAAAGCGGAAGGGGGGGCACGCTGACGGAGGCACGTCGGAGTCCAAGGCCATCAGCCGGTATTCCCCTCAATCCCCCCCTACCCCAAAACATCATCAAACACACGGCGGCGCGGCGGGCAGCACCTGGCTGTACAGCAGCACAGATAGCTTTGATGGTCACAGCTTTACCTTTCCGACCGCTCTCCATCCCCGCATATTAGGGACACTTGACAAAGACCACCCGGACCACCAATCCGGAGAGCTGGGCTCCACGGCCCGTACACGACCCACGGCCTACTACACCCATATAGGACTCTACTACACCCCTCCCCGTTCCCATCTCACAATCCAAACGATAAGGGCTAATATCTCGAGTCGCACGGACGCATACGTTTAAATAATTTTTATAGTTCAGCGATAGTGGAGCTTTGGTCATACCTGTCTGCACTTGGGGCAGGTCTTGGCACCGCCCGACATCTTGACGTGCCTGGTGAGGCAGTCGAGGCAGTACGTGTGGCCGCAGTTCATGAGCTTAGGCAAGCGGTCCTGCATGTCGAACTGCTCGAAGCACAGCGGGCACTGGACGAAGTCCGCGAGGGCCGAGCTTTTCGCCGCCATGTCTCTGGAAAATGGTGAGACAAATTGCGATAAGATACAAAACACGTATCGTGTGCTAAAGCCCATCTGTGCTAAAGGTACAAGTAATGCTAACCGGAATATGAGAACGAACATGGAAAACAAATGATCGAGAAACGTAATAAAATGTAATGCACGCAAGCGCATTGCACGTGTGAAAACCAAAAAGTCATACACCGGCTAAAGCATTGAAAACGAACATGGCGTCGTTGGTTTGCGCCTGTCCAGATAGGTTACGACGTTCAATACAACAGCTTTCACAGCCCCAATGCCGACCTCACCTTTATAAACGACGGTCAAATTAGGTAAAATCCAAAGCTAGGCAGCGACTGCTTGGGCGCCTCAAACACTCTGAAGTGCCCAGGTGTTGGTCACAGGACAGAAATCCTCCTCACGCCGCCCAGCCCAGCAACAGCAAAGCCGGTCCGTACAGCTGTGCGGCAGAGGCACAACACACTCTGTGCCTTGGTGTGCGTGTGGACGAGAAACGAGCGAGTACGAGCCCGCAGCCGAACCGGCTCGACGGCGGCGTCCGACGGGCCCGGCCAGCGACCGCCGGCCGCCTTCGCCCGCACGATAAGCCGGAGGGGAGAGGGGGGGAGGGGGCAGAAAGTGGAAACGGGGGAGTCCGGGGCCCCCGCGCCCCTCCCAACAAGGTGCCTCCCAAGCACGTTGGGCGTCTGGCCCCAGTGGGGCCAACCGCGCTGGCCTCAAAGACGACGACGCACCCCCTAACAGCACTAGACTGGTGCGTGCTGGTGCGTCGGGGCCGGCCGTTTGTCGCGGCGACAGTAAGTACCCGCTGCTCACGGGCCTCGGTCGGTGTTTAACACGCAGTTCGACTCAGGCTCACAACCCTGGCCGAGCCTCCGTTTTCGTAGTTTCGGAATATGGCCAGACTGACTTGGGCGACCTCCGCCCCCCCCCTCTCCCCCTCTTTGAAGCCACTCTCGGGGTCGAGCGCGATGGGTGGCCTAACCGCCCGGCGTTGTCGTGTACTAGGACTCTATCGTGTACCAGCCACCAGGCAGAAATATTTGTATTTACTTTGAACATTTCGCCGATTAAAAATGCTGCTGCGACAGAGTTGTGAGTCGATCGCTGTTCTGATGACTTTCCCCCACCCCAGTCAGACCATTGTGTCTCCTCAAAAACAAAATAAATTGTTCTATTCCGCAAAGGGAATATATGTTTCATCTCGTCTGGAAACTTTAACCCTTCTAAAGCCACTGTCGGAGATAAAAAAAATAAATAAACAGGTCCATTGTCAACTTAAATACATTTTTTAACATTTCTTTGGGATCTCAAAACTGTTAATAGGAACAGAGTTTGTTCGTAATTATTATTTACTCATACAAACTTTAAGCGAGAAATTATTTTTATTGACAACAATCACGACACACATCATTTCTGAACTTAGAGCCATAAAAATACTGGAGCCACAGAGAGAAAAAAAGAATAAATTCAAATGCAATAGATTGACTTGTCCATGATAAACTATGCTTTCCCAGTGAATAATTCAAATCAGAACTATATTGTTTTGACATCAATTTCACCATTTTGACATTGATTTAATGATGTTTTGATGCCAATTCAATTGCCCTTTCTTACTGGGTTGCTCACCTCTATTTCTTTCTATTCTGGCAAAAGCTGAACCAAATCTTGACCTTTAAATTGAAAATTTCAATAAATTCAGGGTCCACAGAAATCTGCTTATTGCCACAGGAACAAAGAAGAAAGTCAAAGAAACCCACATCATAGTGGACATTTATTGCATTCTTTTTCTGAGGCCAACTCACAACCCTCAAAAGGTCCATATTTGCAATTATAACATACTTCATATAGTAATCAGTTTGTTAACTAGCTGCTGTATGGATCTTCCCTCAACACTTGGGGCTGTAGAAAGTCAGGGTCATTCCAAACCAGGCAATAACTTTGATTCATCTTTACAAGAGAAAAATTGTATATGATCTGTATCCAAGGCAAGTTTTAAGAGAGTGTATATCAGCAGCTGAGCAGTTTTGTTCATGTGATTCTACTTGAATTACTTGATACTTGAAAACTTGATTTTAAGTTAGACTAACTATAATTACTGTCAAAAAATGTATAAAAAACAGCAATACATTTGAAAAAAAAAAAAGAAAAGAAAGAGGGACAGAGAAAAGTAAACTAGGCAAATATTTGGTTCATTTCTACAATTGTAAACAACAGGTGCTTGAAGCAAAGTTTTGAGAGAATGGTGTTAAATCAGTGAAGCTATTAAAATGGAGGCTATATATATAAATTTTAACTTAAGACTAAAACTATGATTTTTACATAGAAAGTTATGCACATTTATTAAGAATAAGCCAAACACCAAACCATCCCAGAAATATAGAAATTGTTATTCTATAGAGTAAAATTAAAATAACAGCTACAACCAATTCTTCTTTATCAAATTACAGTTACATAATACAGCATTGCTCATCATCATCTTGCTTTCCTTTGGGCCTTCCTCTAGGTTGTGAATGATGATGCTCCTGTTGCTGACTTTGCTGACGGTGCTCCTCCTGTTGGTGACGTTGCTTTTGTAGGTACTGTTGCTTACGTTGCTGATGCTGACGCTGCTGACGCTGCTGAGGCTGCTGATGCTGTTGCTGGCGGTGCTGTTGATTTTGCTTATTTTGTTGAGGCTGCCGCTTTGGCCTCTGCTGTTGTTGCTGTGCACCTTGTTTATTCCGCTCAATAGTAGCAATGCAGTATGTAGACATTGCAACAGTAGTGGCGGCAGCTGCAGCGGTCATTGTTTCAGCCCAAGAGAACTGAGAATTAGAGGTTCCTGGAGCAGGAACCATAGCTGAGGCTGACTGCTGAGCTCGTGGGGCAGATGTTGTCTTGTCACGATACTCTCGTACTTGCAGGTCAAATCCATTGTACATGATTGGCTGCACACAATACAATTCAGTGATATTTTCGTTTTTCAGATATGAGAGAATACTCTTTTCAGAGTCAATATAGTTAAAATGTTTTGAGCTACTTACCCGTGCTTCAAAAATTTGGGCGACTGATCTCTCATCTTCAAAAGTTATAAATGCCATGCATTTTTGCCCCACACCATGTCGTACTTTAACAACACTAGTAACTGCACCATAATTGGAGAAGAAATTCTGTACCAGTGGAAAAGGGAACACAAATTTAACTGATGAATAAGAAACATGTAGAGACATTATTTTACATAACTTACAGCAAGGTCGCTTTCAGTACTATCCAATGGTACTTGATTTGCAAACACTTTCCGAGCAGCCTCATTATCTTGAGAGCCTGAAAATTACAGTATATGGTTACTTTCAACACTGATGCTTACAACTGGCAATATGCGCATTTGAATGCAAAAGAAATATTACTGTTTAGGGGAGCACTCTTTTTGGCTGAGGTTTTTGTTTTTCTTTGCTGCTTAGCATTTGCAACACCATGCATTTTTGTTCTGTCTTCTTTAACGTTTAGCAGCCATCGTCCAAATTGTCCTTGTTTTTCATCAAAATGATAACAACCATCATAGGCAATTGGCTGAAATCAGCATTCCCACTAAAATTATTTCATTCCATTGATGCAAGAAAGCCAATGTAAATTTGATCAAATCAATGTATTTAGATTACCCTATTTCTTAAAATATTTTCAACTGTTCTATCATCAGGAACATAAACTAAAGCACGATGAAATTTGGGAATATTTGCAGTTGCAGCCTTTGCTTTGTTTGATTTTGTCAGGAAACGAACATACAAAACATCCCCAAACTCTGAGAATAGTTCCTGAAACATTAAGAGTTTTAAAAACACACACGTTCCAGTGGCATTTCTGAAATGTATTAAATTTTTCTGAAGAAATACCTTGATTTCTTCTGGTTTGACTGTAATTGGTATTTTCCCCACAAGCAACCTCCTTGCACTTCGACAGTTCTCAAGCCTGCCAACTTCTGACACCACGGAGGATGTATCTACAAAATGCGAACCCTTGATTAATGTATTGCCAACAATCCAAAAATGTCACGTTCAGTATTCAACTCACCCGACTCATGGCCACTGCTTTTACCGATTCGGACCCACTGCTCGGCTGAGTCGCCACCATCACTGTCACTGTCGTCTTCATTGTCGTTGTCGGACTCGTCGTCCCCGTCGATGACGCACTTCTTCACGTCAGCGATGAGCGTGTCCAGGGACGGGACAGCAGACGAACTCCCGGCAGCCCCGGTGTCGGTCCCAGCAGCGTCCTCCTCAGTCGGCCCCTCATGGCCGTGGAGCAGGAGGTAGATGAGATAGGAGAGGACTCGGTCCTCGGCGGTACTTCCCGGCCCGATCGCCAGGGTCTTGCTCGTGCCCGTGGCCAGCCCCGTGTCGTCCGCTCGCACCGTCACCGTGCACTTCTTGGCCATGTCCAGCATGCGCTTCTGCTCCTGCAGCGCGAACAGGCGCTCGCTGTTCGCCTGCAGGAATCTGTCGAGTGCGCGCGGGACGTCCCCGTTGTCCTGGAACGCCGTCAGGGGCACCTCCATGACGAGCTTGGACGTCTTGTCCAGGACCTCTCGCTGCTTCTTCACCTCGCCCATCTCGCGCTGTGCCCGCGGCCCGAGGCCACCCTTGCCGTTGATGGCCGCCGCGAAGGCCTCCAGGCTCTCGGCCAGGTCCTTGAGGACGCCGTCCTCTCGCTGGAACTGGCGCTTGGCCTGCTCCTTGGCCTCGGTGGCTCGCTTCAGCACCAAGCCCGTCTTTTCGCACAAGTCGTGCCCGTTCTCCAGGCACGAGTCGTTCGCATCCCGGTTGCAGCGCGTGCAGAAGAACCTATGCAGTGAAAACATAGTTAGTTTGCTTGGATAAGTCTGAAGTCCCTGATCACTCGCATAGACTCACTACCTCAGTGAGACAACCGGGATCTCCGCTGTCGACGGTGGATTTTCGACACTTGTGCTGCTGGCCGCTACCAATGCCAATTCATCCAACGATTCGCAGATTTGGTAGTTGTCCTTGAGGAAGAAGGGTGCCTCAGTAAACGGCTAAGAAAAGAAGAGGGAACGAAATTAATGGTTTTTCGGTTGAGTAGGTGCTCTAGGCTCATAGACCCTTTCAGCGCTCCCACGGTCCCCCCACTCCAGCGGCGCGTCGCCTAGCAATGCGATCCAAACAAACCGAGGTGTGCAGCCAGCGCGCTGGACCGCCCGGCGGCGGGCGGTGCAGTGGTCAAGCGCGCTGGCTGCGCACCTCGGTTTGTTTGGATCGCGTTGCTAGGCGACGCGCCGCTGGAGTGGGGGGACCGTGGGAGCGCTGAAAGGGTCTATACCGAGCGGCCGTGGCCACATAAGGCTACCCCCCCCCCCCCCCTTCCGATCCGTGTCCTGTGCTCTCCGATGATTACCCTCTAGACGCCAGACCACGACAGACCTGCTGGTAAAAGGTGAGGCAGCGATAGCGCCTGCAACGCTCTGGGTAGGCCAACCTGCCAAGCAGCTGCGTGTGGCCGGTAGCCCGCCCTGAGCGCCCATCACGTAGTATAGGGCCGATAGGACTCGGTCAGGCAAAGGGAAAGTTTGTTCCGGGAGCACCCACACTCCCGTGCCGACACTCCTCGCGTTACAAGTACAAACTTAGACTGAAAAAGATAATCGGCTTCGAGCTAGATCCAGGCGACCCCCTATCTTGAGAGAAACCATGCAACTTATTGAACGACTAAATCGTTAGTGAACACCTTGAGCGGGAGCACGGGATTATTTACCTGGCGACACTTGGGGCAGGTCTTGGCACCGCCCGACGTCTTAACGTGCCTGGTGAGGCAGTCGAGGCAATACGTATGGGCGCAGTCCATGAGCTTGGGCCTGCGGTCCTGCATGTCGAACTGCTCGAAGCACAGCGAGCACTGGGTGAGGGCCGCAAGGGCCGAGCCTGGCGTCGCCATGTCTCTGGATGTGAGATGGACGCAAACCGATCCTTAACTCATGTATGTGAAAAACCTGTAAAATGAATAGCAAAAAAAGAAATTATAGAAGGAGAGCAAAAAAGTAATAAAAAAAATCATAGTGATATAAAATCAATATTAGTCCATAGAGTTATATGGTTATACACTTTTGTTTTGGGTGTTTTATCATTTCACAGTTGGTTTCAAACCGAATATGAACAGAAGGTTCTATCGGTTCCCTATCACGGTAAGGAAGAAAACAGAAACGAAACGGGCACTAAGTAATAAAATAAATATGGCGTCCTTCGTCGCAGTCTCTCCAGACGGACAAAGGACACACAAAACCGACACGAACTAAACATCAAAGCAGTTTTACGAACAACCACCTTACCGAAACGTCACGTTACCTGGTTTAACAACAAGTAAAACCCAAACAGCGACAACGCTCGCTTCCAAACAACACGCTAGCTGACGCCCCGCGCAGCCGACTAAAAAACAGCAGCGTCCGATCAGCTGTAGGCCCACAACACTGCTGTCGCGTGGCTGGCTGGGCTGGGCAGCCCGGCCGCCGGCCGCGACAGACCGGCGCCGCCCGGCGACGCCAAACGCGAAGGAGAGGGGGGGGGGGCAAGAGGAGCGGGGATGTGGGAGTGGGGGAGAGAGTAGAGGGGAGAGGGGTGGGCGGCGGGCGGCGGCGGCGGGGCCCCTTCCAGCATCGCCTAGAGTGCTGTACATGAAGGGTCACAACCCCGCTGGCTAACGCGGGCCCGAAGCGCCGCGCCTCGCAGCCCACACCGCACTCCTCGCGGCGGAGCACGGTGGGTGGCCTACCCGGCACGGCGGGAGGCCAGGCAGCGCTAGGCAGAGGCAAATCAAAGGGCCCTGGACAGGACACCACACGTTTCTTCTGTTTTAGTTTTGGGTTGCTACACCGGATAACCATTTGCATTTTCTTCAATTGATAATGGCCTAGATTATGACTAGCTGCAACACATCGATTCGCGATTTCAATCGCGGCGAACTAGGAAGGGGAGAGCAAAGCAAAATTAAACAATGCTCAGGAAGGTTTTCAGAAATTAGTTTTTATTGCTGAGGAATTTCACTATCAGTGCAGCGGGCTCGCCCTCGCTCGCCTCCTGCTAGCTGCGACCAGGCAGCGTCCTCGTTGACGATGAGGGACGCCAGCGCCTCGCTGTTCAGACTGCGGTCCGCGAGGGTCCGCACCTTGACGTGGGGGTCCTTGTCTTGCAACGAGACACCTGTTGAGATCTTTGCACCATACGGCAGGGGGTAAAATGCGGTCAAACTCACGCCACTCACGCTCCGTCCCAGCCACTGCAGCTCATCCTCGCCGTTGCGCACGATGTTCACGAACTCACGAATTAAGGGCCGGTATACGTCCGACTTGTGCTCCGCGACGGCCTCCGGGAGCTCGTCGAGGACCTGAGCTCCCTCCTTGACTCGTGCCGCCTAGCCGTTCACGAGTTTGGTCCGGATGCCGGCAGTGCGGGCGGCGCGCGCATGACGGAGCTGGCGGAACTTCGGCGCCTGCGGGACTCAGGGTAGGCCGCCCCACAGTACGCACGTGCACTGCAGACAATACGATGCCTATCTATCAGGCGCCCTGGGAGCTTGCATCGGCTGAAAGCATTTTCAGCGAATGATGCATCATTACGTGTTCTCCAGTGTTGCGGGATTGCATACCCGCTAGGGCTGCAGGAGCTATGGCGACTTACGGGACAATGGAGTACGCAATCTTGAGTGCATTCAAAGATACATGCGTCCCTGTTAGTGGCTACCAATCCGGCCTGCCGGAGAAAGCTCAACCCGACTAAAAAAGTTCCGACCAGAAACGGATCGTGAAAGCAGATGATACCTTGTCAAGAATTATTCTATTCCAGTCTATTATATTTCTGTATTTACACTTGTGGGGAAGGGGGGATGGGAGGTTGGTGGTGCGGGGGCTCCAGCGGTGCGAGGGAGGGGGAGGACTAGCGTAGACTAGCGCGGCCGACGGCTCGGGGCTCGGGCTCCGCTCGGCTCGGCTCCGCTCGGCTCCACCCGGCTCGGCTAGTGGCTCGCGCAACAACGCGACGCGACCGACGCGACGGCCTCAGCCACCCCACGGCCCCGCCTAGCGCAATATAGGAGAGATTGCTATTCGTTCTCTTTTATATTTTTCTTAATCGAGAGTAAAAGCAATGACACCTTACATTACTCATGTATAGTTAGTTATGTTTAATTTAGGTGTAAGGTTGTAAGGTATCATCTGCTAAAAAGTTACTTTTTCATGCAAATTGTAGTCCAAAGCCCCCAGGGTGTACGCAGAAGCCAAGGAACTAATCTGCACAGTGGTATCCTAGCGGCACTAGCGGGCCAGCGAACAGCTGCTTGGCGGGATGGCCTACGCAGCGCGGGACGTCCCTGCTCCGCGTTTCGGTAGCGTGTAGGTTGGTGGCAAATAAATAGGCTTGGACAGCCCGCCTTGGACAACATTAGGCTGGCTCAACCAGTTCAATTTTTCAGTCATAAATATGTTAGTGTGAATTAATGTTGTTATGTCGGTGTTGTTATCAAATGCTCGGGCAATAGCAGTTCAAATGACTGGCGATTTATTATAGTTAAGATTAAGAGAGGTATTTACAAATCAGTTTGCCACCCATTCTAACACTAATTATCAGAGAGGCGAGCTCGCCAGGTTGACGGCGAGGCGGAGGTCGGCCTCGCCAGCGAGCTGCGACCAGGCGGCGTTCTCGTTGATGAAGGCGGCCAGCGCCTCGCTGTCGAGGCTGCGGTCCGCGAGGGTCCGCACCTTGACGTGGGGGTCCGTGTCCTGAAACGAGACACCTGTTGACACCTTTGCACGACGGCGTTACACAAGAGAGAATAAGCTCCACGCGTTCAACTCACGCTCCGTCCTAGCGACTGCAGCTCATCCTCGACGGTGCGCACGATTTTCACGTAGCCGGCGAAGGGCCGGGATACGTCAGACTTGTGCGCCGCGACGGCCTCCAGGAGCTCGTCGAGGACCTGAGCACCCTCCTCAGCTCGGACCGCCTCGCCGTTCATGAGCCCGTCCCGGACGCCGTTAACAGCGTCGCCCCCGAGGCGCTGCTGGGCCCACTGTTGCACCCTGGTGACGTCGCCGTGCACCAGGAAAAGCACGCCGCGCTT